GCATTTAGTCTGGGAAGTACTTATTGCATGCCTTTTAAGTATGAGGCCCTGCGGTCTCTAGCAGAGACTGGTGTTGTCTCCTACCCCAGCACCTAAGTCAGCTCTCACTTGTTCACATGTTAATGCATCCCGCCCACCTCACCCCCCCATTCCCCAGGCTCTCTCAGTCGATTCTAGGACTCCCTCTGCACACCAGGTATCCCTTCACCCCACTCCACCCACACAGAGCTCAGGGCAGGTGTACTTTTTACCCTTCACCCCATCACACTTTATGTGCTGGCCAATTTTTTAAAATTTTATTTTTCAAGAACGTGGCTCAAATGTCAATTCCTCCAGGAAGCCTTCTGTGATAACCTCGCCCACCCCATCCTTCCGCAGTGTGGCGTAGGTGCCCAGGACTTGCCCTCCCAGCTCTGTGATGGCCTGACTCCTTACCTGATTGACCTCTTTAAGGATGGGAACTGTGTGGAGGAATCTTCTTTCAGAGTATTTTTTCTCTAATTTTTTGCTTTCTAACCTTTATGTTGACTTCTTTCACATCTTTTATCATCTGAAGTTACCACCTTTCCACAGTCTTCCTTTTCATTTGCATCCCTTCATATCCAGTCATTTCATATTGTCTGTACTTGTTTTCTGAAACTCACTAAATGGCTTTCTCCTGAATTCCACTTAAAACACACACACACACACACACACACACACACACACACACACATATAAGCACACACCCATCTTCCAAGTCCTTGAATGAGAAAACTAAGGAAAAAAAGATATATATGGATTTCCAAGTTTTCTTTTACTCCTCCTTGGAATATTACACTAGAATTCCTTTTCTTATAAAAATATGCGTTGGTAGAAAACATGAGTGCCTGTGGTAGTTTTAAAAATAAAAAAGAGACTAAAGTTTCCTGAGTAATTCTGTTGAATTGTTGACCCTTACCACACTCACAGAGTTGTATAAATTGATGTCTTTTTCGGGACTGTGGATGGCTGTTGTTTGTGCTATTACTCTGTGGTCATTGTCATAATCCTGACTATCCCAGGAGTTATAGAGGATTAGCTCATAGACCTTCAGAAACATTGTAAATGGAAAGCGAAATCAAAGACAAAGGTCCAGTTAGAATGCTCGTCAGGGCCGGCCGAGTGGCACGTTTGTTAAGAGCTGGTTTGGGATGCCAGAGGACCCCAGTTCGGATCCCACATATGAGGGCCAGTGACACTGCCCTCTACAGCTAAGATGCTGAACAACAGCTCAACCTGGAGCTGGGCTGCCATGAGTCGCTGGCGATGGCGTAGGCTGCAGCCCCTGTGGCAGTGGGTTGCCATGGGCTACCGTGTGTAGCCAGCAGCCAGCAGCCAGCATGAGCGGCCAGCAGCCGCAGTGAGCGGCCGTCCAGAAGCCTGCGACTGATCTGCCTCTCCTGGGAAGAGCGCAATGATGGTGCCAGCTTGGGCCAATGAAGCAACATCCTCCACAGCTAGACTGAAGAACAAAACGACAGCAACTTGTCTGTTCCTCTTCCCCCAATTCCCCCATAGAAAAGCTTTTTTAAAAAAAAAAAAAAAAAAAAAAGAATGCTTATCTGCTTTAACCAAAAAAATGTTCCAGATTTCCTCACCCCAGCCGCAAGCCTAAAAGTAGACATACTGGGGAAAAGACTAAAGCAGATAGCAGAAAGCAGTCCTGTAAGTGAATGCCCACACCCCCTTCTGTCTGACCAACCAAGAGAAAAGGAGCTTTTTGAAGCACCTAGGAACTACATGAGCAGCACCTACAGCTCCAACCCTCGACTTTCTGTTGAGAGCAAGTGTTCCCGATTGTCTGTGTGGCCTTGCACCTGAACTCCACACCTGCAAATATTATCTGCTGCCCCTCCCCATTTGTCTCAAAGAGAAAAAAGAAAATGAAAGGAAAAACAACAAAGCGGAAACCCACTCATGCTAATCGAGATGCTAAGATAGCTGAGCTCCTTAGAAGTCTGGGACAGCACGAAGCACTGGGGCCTTGACCCGACCTAGATGTTCTCTTTTGGAAAGAGAGGATGCTTTATAAACTGCACTCTCTGTCCCATGGAGTTACTCACAAAGCCCAAGAAAGCGCACATATAAAAGGTCCAAAAACTCAACTTCTTATCGCCAGTCATGCCCCCAGGATGAAAATACACCAGTTGCTGTGTGCACACAGATGTTAAGCCAACTTCTTAATACAAATTAAAAAATTAAATCTGAAAATGCTGGAGGCAAAATAATATATTTCTTAGAAGTCTCTAGCATGAGATACGTAGTACGGCTAATCTTATTCATAAAATATTTAAGAAAAAAGTCATTCTTTTTAATGCCTGGCATTTCTTTTTAGAACCATCGATTTTTTTTTTCATTGTTTTCCAATGGAAACATTTCTTCCCTGGCAGCAGTGACCTGAACTCAAACAGAGATTGTTTAAGGAAATCACATCCCATGTATCTACTGATGAGAGTGTCCCTCAAGTGGAAAAAATGCGCTAGAAGGTTAATTATTTAATTATTAGGAAGATAGGGAAATGGTAGTTTTTCACAGAATGACCTTTGTGGACCAGTTTTTCAAAAAGAATTTGCTTCTCTTTCCAAACACGGATGAGGGCCTGACTAATCCTCAATTTCAGCTGTGTAAACATTGAACTTTCAGACTGCTTGGAAAGAAAGTCAGAGCAAAACTTGAAATAACCAATGCAAAACCAGAATACTACAATGATATTATTGATTGTTTCCCTTATGCAATAACCTGTGAATTCCCTTGCAAAGAAAAAGGAAAAACAGCAGAGATAGTTTTATCTTATTGCTTAGTTTCTATGCCGTATTCTGAACATTGTAGAGAACTGTTCATTCATATATATAGTTTTTCACAGGCCTTGACTCAGGCAGAAGCCTGTGGTTTCTGATTACCTATGGCTATAGTCTTCAGTGATGTCCTACTCTATAGCATTCCATTTTGTAATAAACACTCTGACATACCTACAACTTTGTACATAAGAAAAAAAGAAAAGAAGGAAAAAAAAACAAGTTATTGAGTCCTCTTTTAGCCCAAGCTGTAAACTTGATTGGCAAAATTAGTTGTGTTACTGACTTGATTTGTATTTCTGTTTTACATTCATGAACAGCTAGCTGCATTTTTAGGCTAACTAAATAAAATAATTGAGCAGAGTTCATAGTAGTAGGGTGTCAATTTATTCACAAACATTGGAGGAAGTTTATAACATGTTCTACACTGTAGAATCTACAGGGTTCGTGATTGATTTAATAATAATTTAAAATACCTACCCTTGGTTTTCCCAAATGATTCCATGTGTGAACTTGGAGGTCCTCCTGAAGAGAATGACTGGTGATGGTGATCTGTGCCGTTGGAGTAGGCTAAGCACATTTCTGTCCTCTGCACACGAGAAGAGCTAGCTAGATGAGGTGAGGGAAGTGGCAGGTTGTATTCAATTTCACACACAAGGAAATTATTTAAAACCACTTCATAAAACTGCTGCATAGGAATCAGCATTTCAGTTTTTTTCCTGGACACTCACTCTAGGTTTGAATTTGTCATCAGTAATTAACACTAAGTTAGAGTCCAAGCTGAAATCTGTCAGACAGAATAATCTGAGAATTAGCCAGAATCAAGTGTTCAAGGGATCTTTGATACTCTGTGTTCGAAGAGTAATAGATATGTTAAAGCTTGGTCACTGCCTTGCTTATTTTTAATGCCATACGAGGAAATAAAGGGTAGCTTTTCTGAGAGAATTTTGTATACTTAAGATTTTAAAAACACCATTGCTCTTTGGTACACTAATCAAGCTTCCACAGTCAACCTGACGCCGCCAAAATAAAATATAGAGGAAGCTATTGTAAAAATAACTCCTTACGTTTTCCTAATCTAGCAATTGAAAAAAAAAAAGGTGTTGACATTAAAGTCTTATAGTCTTATCCTCACTGGCAAATGTTTTCTCTTTGTCCCTACTGGTTTTTTATGTTTTGTTTTCCAAGAATCTAGAAACAGCAGAGTTGTCATGAAAAAATTTCATTAGAAGCAGTTGTCACGGTGGTAGTCAGCTTCTTATGTGATGTAGTATCAAATAAAAACTTAATAAGTTCTAACTGGATCATAGCAGTAATTTGACTTCATAGCATATGGTAGGGAAGGGATTAGATTACTCGCCAAGTCTAATATTGGTCATTTTTAAAAGCACAAACTTGTTCATAGACTTCAAACCTGGTAGGATTAAGTTATTTTTGGTATTATCTAACAGTAGGTGGATTTTGCTCTCATTTGTATTCTATCACATCACCTTGTTTGTCTTTTATCACAGAGGGTTAGACTGAGTTTCTTAGAATGTATTTTCCTCTAGGACACACTTGAGCCGGGACTAGGACCAGCCCTGAAATTCTACCTTGGTGCTTACCTGGCACTCACTATTTCATTCGAAGTCATATATATCTGCAGCAATTTAAGTAGTTTGATTTTCAGTATAGACTCCAGGCTACTACAGTATTTTTCTGGTCACCATCTTTTGCTTTGTTCTATTCAGAAAAGATTGGTGGCACGGTTGGTTCAAATAACCACTTAAGGGTTAAATATTATGTGTGGCCCCACATCTCTGTTCAAGTGTTGGGGAAATTTTCATTGATTTAACTAGGTGTTATAGCTCAGTAAAGAACAGTCCTGTTTGGCAAGAAAGCAGATATGGAAACTACTCACAGCCCCATTTATAAGAAGAAAATAATTGGTTAATGTAAAAGGAAATGACTTTGACAGATTTACACTCTTGGCGTGTGTTAGAAATCCACAAAAATCAGGATTCAAGTACATTTTTATCTTGCAGTGGAAGAATCTGACACGGAACGTGGAAAGCAGTGTTCAGTAAATGAAATGCTGCTGACACATCGGGTCTTCTGTTATCATTGTGTCTTCTCCTCTGCGGTGAGACATGTAGGTCTGATGTGTCTCATCAACCCTCTTTGCACTTTCTCCACTCTGTTTAGGTGTAGAGGTAGAGCAACCCAGAGAAGAAAAGAAAGAATGCTACTATAATCTCAATGATGCCAGTCTCTGTGATAACGTGCTGGCCCCCAACGTCACCAAACAAGAATGCTGCTGTACCTCTGGTGCTGGGTGGGGTGATAACTGTGAGATCTTCCCCTGCCCCGTCTTGGGGACTGGTAAGAGTCAGCTAAGTGATGTTTCACTCTTGTGTCTGATCCAGTGGTGTCCATGGGTCTTGGGAGGTCTTCATTTTGGTTACTACACTGAAGCTTTGAAGTGAAGTATGGCATTCACTGGTAGCTAACATATTTGAATTGAGGTGAGATGACCTAATAGCGAGTTTCATTCAGATATGGAACCATCACCCCCATCCCACCTCAATCTGAATTCTAAAAGCTCTGTCCATCACCAAATATACTGCTACAGTGAGGTGTCGTATGATATTTTGGCAGCGAGTTAATTCAGTTTTATCCCATTTTAAAATTAAAACCATTCTTTTTTGCTAACAATGACACAGCATTATCCATAACTAGAGATGGCATATTTAAGCTAAGATTTGCTTGGTGGGTTCTTATTAAACCTTTAAAATACTAGAGACCATAGTTATGGAGAAATAAATCATAACATCAGGTAAAACATGGGTGAACTAGGAAGGTTTTTAAAACATTGTAAGTAAAGTTCTGAAATATTTAGACTTATTTGCACCTAATCCATAATTTTTGAGATTGTACTGAATTTATTTGCCTGAATTAGATGGCATGATTTGCCTTAAAGTTACTGAGTAAGAGAAAGCCAAACTGAATTTAAAATACATATTCATGGAAGATGTTGATTTTTTTTCCTTCTTTCTTTCTTTCTTTATTTCTTTTTTTTTCCTGAAATCAGCTGAATTCACTGAAATGTGTCCTAGAGGGAAAGGTTTTGTTCCCACTGGTGAATCCTCTTACGATGTTGGTGGCGAGAACTATAAAGGTGAGAATCAAGTAGTAATTAATTTTTAACATATGTGCCTATCAGGCATTCAAGTAAAACCATTGCTTGGGTCACAGAGTTAGAGTCCTTTTGAGCCATGGAAACTGATTACAAAGCCTTTAATTCTACCCTTGGAAGAAAGCTCCTGTGGACTCTGGGCAGAGCCAATGCGTGGCTTGGGAGTTAGAATACTTAAGGCTGTGTGATGGTGGGACATCACTTAACCTTCTCAGTTTCCATCTCTACGATAGGAATAATGTCTCAAAAGTTACCATGAGGATTAAATTAGATAATATGTTACAGTACCTAATACAAAATTCTGCACTTAATAAATTTATTCTTCTATTCCAGAAGTATATTAGAAACCATATATTAGGACCATATAAATTTGACCATCATCATGTTGGTTTAATGGTCATCAAAAGAGCTAAAATTCTTGTTCTTTTAGAACTCATTGTACTGTTTCTAGGAACTTCTACCAATGGCCACAGATCCATAATAAGGAATGAAAAAGAAGAAAGCAAAAGTAGATGTGTTTTATATATTTAATGCTATTAGTCTATAACTCTAAAATAAATGTACAGCCATTTTACTTTGGTGAAATTTAAACCACATGTATGAATATTTCCTCACTAACCACTCATTTTTGACATTTCCACGATAGAGATATTAAGACCTTTTATATACAAAGTGATTTTTTTCTGTAAAATTTAATATTGAAAATTGCTAAGTCAATGGAAAACAGACTAAAACCTTTTTTATTGTTCATCCTTTTTTGGAAAACTAGCACTTTAATAATATGGTATAATCCAGTAGCTGGATAAGAAATTCCATATGTGTTTTTAAAATACATCTATGATTTAGTCCAATTAAATAACAAGACTTGGTTGGTGATATGTGTTTAATGATATTTTAAGTTCACATATATGTTTTTGCAGAGATGTAGTTAAATCTCACTTTATATTATGGAATGAAGTCCTGATTTCACCAGAAAGTCATCCCCTGTTTTATAGAAAACGAAATTCCTCCTCCCTCTATCTATCTTAGCAGCACTATAAAGGGTTGGAAGAATATTAAATTCAAGGAGCCATATATTTTGAACTTGGTTTTCCCATTTTCCAGCTGTATAACTTTCAGCAATTTATCTGTGGAATCTTCAGTTTTTAAAATGAGGACTAAATGGCATGAGCTCTAAAATGCGAAAACTGATGATAATAATAGCAATAAAAGCAATAGGCAACACTTTTGGAGAGCATACTGAATTCTATACATGGATTTTTCTATCATGGAATCCTTTCAGTCCTATCAGGTAGATGTTCCTACTACCTTCGGTTTATCATCGAATAAACTGAGGTTTGGGAGCTGATAAGCACTCCAAGTTCTGTGGAGAAATGGGTCTGCCAACACCCTTTACAACTTGTGCTTTCATTAGCTTATCATTGTCATCCAGAAAGAAAACTTTCATCAAGTTGTATCAAACGCCCCTCACTTTCTTCATCTCAACCAGTTAATGAGCTAAAATATATACATTTATAGGAAGGCACATTTCTTACAGGATATTCTCCAGAGAACAGTGTTGGTGCCATTCTAGAGTTTCATAGACTGTTTCATCAGATACAAGGTAGCTTCCCAGAAACCATGTTTACAAATATAGCTTCTCTAATAATATTTTGGGCCTTGTTCCTTAAATATCACAGACAAGCCTGATTATGTTTCTATATCTGTGAATTAGTCCTAACGTTAAGAATTTTATGTTGCTGTGTCTTTAAGATTCTTTGGACTATAAATATTACAGTATCTAATGTGAAGCCCAATATTGGTTAGACTCTTCCTTTTTACTAAAAGACCACAGCTAACACCTCATTCTGTTGTTCCATTTCTTCCCCACAGATGCAGATGAATGCCTACTCTTTGGACAAGAAATCTGCAAAAATGGCTTCTGTTTGAACACTCAGCCTGGTTATGAATGCTACTGTAAGCAAGGGACATACTATGATCCCGTCAAATTGCAGTGTTTTGGTAAGTTTTAAGAGGATATAGTGCGCTGTGAAAATATACAGATGGAAAAAAGTAACGCCGTGTAGTAAAAACAGGATTTCTTTGATTCTAAATCACCTGTTAAAAGATCTGTAAATGTTTTATGAATCTTTTTCTTGAGCAAAGTTTAAGAAAATAAAAAAACCTCCATACTACTATTTGAATAGATTTCAAACAAAGAGTTAATTTTCAATGTGGAATTATAATTCAGGTTCCTTTTGTTCTGGGGAACCTCCTATTTCATCACTCATACCATGCAAGTGAAAGTCATTTTTAAATACTGACCCAGACTTCAATGCTTAAGCAGAAAACCATATACACTAAAAAGAAAAACATAGCAAAAGGAAATAACTTTAAAACTATCATAACGAGGCATTTTACCTTAAATTTCTAAGCATGTCCTGTTCTTAAATGTTTTCTTTCCTCATTTAATGTCAGCAGCAGCAGGGTGACATTATTTTTCCAATCAATACAACTTCACCGTTTTATAGTCAGAGCTGTTCACTTTTGGATGGTGATGTGTAGTTAATTAAAATATGGCAGCCCCTGGAATCTGGACTAAATGTAGCAGTGTGCAAAGTTTGATAAGTATGTGAGGTGCAACTGGTTGCTGATTTTCTTTAATAATTTTTTTTTTGAAGATATGGATGAGTGTCAAGACCCCAACAGCTGTATTGATGGCCAGTGCATTAACACGGAAGGTTCTTATAACTGCTTCTGCACCCACCCAATGGTCCTGGATGCATCAGAAAAAAGGTGTATACGACCAACTGAATCACACGGTATGTTGGGAGGTGAAATGCAAGTCTGTGTCCAAGTAAATGTCATAAGATTTTCCTTTTGACTGAAATGTGAGCTATTGGAAAAGAGAAAAGTTGACTCCTTGGGCAATTTGAAATAATGAAAATGAGATGCTAAGAAAAATCATAAGATGTGTATCATCAGTATGTAGGAGATTTAATACCCTGAACATACCCGTTTAATGGACAACAGAATATGGAGTGACCGAGCACATGGCAGAGCTGCTCTGTGCTTGATGGTTGAAAACACTTAACCCTCATAGGCAGCTGAGGAAGATGTAAGTTCAGGAGGTTCCCTAGATTGCACCGGAGGACAATCTGCCCAGTAGATGAGGCTGGGCAGAACGGAGGGTGTGGTTCAGCTAGGAGGTGGAGAGCCCTGAAGTCCACTGATAGGAATCCCTGTTCGTTCCCAATGAGATGTGCCACTGATCACCGGCATGATTGATCAGTCCGTCATCACATCAGGTAGAAAAGTTAGGATTTCAGACTCTAGGATGAAGTGTCCGTAGTCCAAGGCTTTGCCAGAAGAAATGGGTGAGAGAACCTGAATCTAAAAAAACATTATATAGAAAGAAGTGGGGGGATTTGACAGAGTCAATGTGAAAAGGCAAAGATGGAAAGAATGAGAAGTCCATCAGGATCATGAAGCACAGGCAAGATGACGGGATGTTTTATGTCATGACGAAAGCTGTAGAGAGAAGGATGTAACTGGAGCATGATGGGCAGGTTGAATTTCAGCAGATGGAAGGGCACCCAAGAGGAGAAGACAGAGGTTTGATCCATGGAAAGACCAGGCTGGCTTCAGACTTTTCCTTGGAAGTCACTCTTAGAAACAGGGATGGAAACTTTGAGACTTGCTGGCTTCCACCACAGTGTTTATGAAATAGGAATAACAGTGCAATTGTCATGGAACCATGTCTTCCCTTTCAGAACAAATCGAAGAAACCGATGTCTACCAAGATCTGTGCTGGGAGCATCTGAGTGATGAGTATGTGTGTAGCCGGCCCCTTGTTGGCAAGCAGACAACTTACACTGAGTGCTGCTGTTTGTATGGAGAGGCCTGGGGTATGCAGTGCGCCCTCTGCCCGATGAAGGATTCAGGTGAGCCCGTATCCAGCTCTTTCCGAACACGTTCCTCTCACCTCGTCTGGGCGCTGACATTTCGCTTTTACTTACATATCTTCACGTTCACTCCTGATACCTTACTTCCATCAGAGGTGTCTGTGGGGGGGAGGGGAAGAACAGGATTGCATAACCATCTGTCTTCTGGTTTACCCCCAATCCAGACCCTATCATTAATTTTTGAAACCCTCATTCCATGTCCCCAAAAAATGATAAATGACCCAAAGAAACATGATGCAACTTAGCAGTTGGTAGCAGAGGTCTTTAGAGTTTACATTTCCTGATGCTTCTCTTTTTCCCTACAGTTCTTCTCATTACTAATAGTTTCTACTTAGAGCAAAAAGTATTCAGAGACTATAAAAAATGAGGGACTATGAAAAAAATCTTCAAATTTTTATGTCAACCTCCTAGTGAGAAAGTGAAGAAAGGTGTTAGAACAATAAAGGAAGAGAGTAGAAACTGAGTGAAAACATATTTGAAAAAAATCTCCTTTTAAGCTTTAGCTCTGGGTTAAACCTTTGGTCAAATGGAGAAAATGCAGCGAGCCAAACTTTTGATTTCATCCCTTTTTTTCGCATTGGAAAAGGACTGGAAAGTGCTGACTGAGGTCCGAGACTGGGCACTTTGGGGACTGTTGAGATGTGCATTCATTGCTTATTTCTCCTCTCCCCACTGTAGCTATTTCTGCTCATCAAAGGAAAGCACTCGAATGTATTTGGTGTATCATTGTGTCTTTAACTCTAAAATTAATTTGTTAAAGCTAGAGAAATGCTGTGTGCATATAAATCCAGTGAGCCTATAATGAACAAAGTCTCAGAATAGTCAAGAGGGGAAGAATTTCTTGAAAAGAGGAAATGCATTAATTTTTAGTTAACTTAATTAGAATGCAACTTTTAAGCTATTTCATAAATTAGTTTTTCAGCTTGGAAATAATGTAAAATCAATGTAGCATAAAAAAAGTAATTGGGAATGTTGCAAAAGGGAAAGGAAGAGCAAAGGATAAAGAGCATATACGTAAAGAACTAGATGACAGTGACATTGGCTCCAAAGTGGAAGGAGGGCAGGTTCTGGGGCAAGACAGGCTGAGTCTAGGATCCACCACTGCGCACAGCAGCTGCAAGTCACAGGAAACATAACCTCACCCAGTGCAGCTCATCTGTAAAATGGAGTAGCCTGTGTTGCGAGGGCTGGGAGGATGGAGGTGGAGCAGGAACACAGGGAATGGTGTAATTAGCATTACTGTTGACTCTGACCCTGCAGGCAGATGCCCTAAGGAGAGGCGAGTGAAATCCTTGGAAGTGAGTCCTGAGGCATCTCTCACAAGGCTGTAGTCCCTCACATCTGCTTTAGTTACGCAGCGCTTTGTATTTCACTCTCTTTTTCAGTAATAATGTATGTATTCCTTCTAAAGAATTCATCAAAGATGTTATGTCCCCTCTACCTACCTCATCAGAATTGAACTCCACTCCTTAAAGATGTTCACTCTTAACAGTTGGTTTATCATTATCCAAGCCTTTCTTCCTACACATTAATTATGGTTATGTATTTATATTTATATTAGTTATTGCTATGTGTTTATATTTAAGAGAGTATTTTAAACAGAAATTCGTAACATCAATCTAAGGTACACTTTGTTTTTTGTTTTACTCGTCATCTCTGAAATGGAGGGTATCTTATAACTGATTGCATCTGACAGTGGCCACAAGCCATTTTCCCACATTTTAATGCCTGTTAAGTCAAGATGCATTTTTATAATCGGTAGTAACTTAGAATTGATGAAAGATACATGGCTGCACAGACTCTGTTTTATGGGTGTACCATGCTTTATTTACTCACATCCAGTACTGGACCTTTGGGTCGTCCACCCCCTGCCACCCCCGCCCTGCCTCACCCTGCCTCTATCTTGATTTTCCTGTTGTAAACAGTGCTACATTGAACATTGGTGTACTCCTATGTATGCTATATATACCTGCAGGAGTACCTTAGTAAGAAAATCCCTACAAATGAAAATACTGACTCAGGAAGTACATGCGCTTTAAATTTACTATATTACTCTCCAAAAATAATGTACAAATTTACACTCACATTGGCAGTGTTTGAAATGAGTTGTCCCTCATACCCTTTCTACCACTCAGGCTTTAAAATTGCTTTCATCGGATGCGTGAAAAGGGCGTCCTATATGCATCGCCCTCATTTCTAGAGAATTTGAGCATATTTGTGTGATTTGTATTTCTTAGTGAACTGATTTTTTTTTAAAAAGAAAAGCACTGTTCTAAGTATTTAGGTCCGAGTATAAGAATCAGTTAGGCAGCCCAGAAGAGTATTTCTTACCACTAAAATGATAATTTTAGAATGGGACTAGAATGGGACTTAGGGGTCATCTATTCTGAATTCAGAGAGAGGTCCACAGCAAAGGTAAGCCATTTTCCAGAGGTCCTATGACAGGCTGGCATTCCCTTGATTAGTACCTGGTGTCCCAGTCATACCTCTATGAATCCATCTCCCATTGAGTACATGTCTACTGGAGTACGGAAACCAAGGGGAGCTAGTGCACAGGGGTTACCACGTGGGCTCTGAACCAGGTTGCCTGGGTTTGAAACTTGGTTTGGCAACTGTTTATCTACACAGCCTTGTTAACCTTGCCTCTGTGTCCCTTGGTGTCCTCATGTAAAAGTAATATCACCTGCCTCCCAGGGCTATTGTGACAATTCAGTAAGTTAACATATGAACACTTAGAATAGTGCTTGACACATGAAGCATTCAGAAGATATTAGCAGCTGTTGCTACTCCTGCTAGGTGCCTTAAATCACAGGCATTTTCAAATGTATCTGAAATGCAAGGCTCTAACAAAATATGCAATTACCTAATAGCATCTGAACTTGAATGAAGGGTAGACCAATGTAGAAATAATTGTCCTCATATAAAAACTATCTCTTCTAGACCATTGCTTCATGAACATTAATGGACACATCAACTGCCCAGAGATCTTATCAGAAAACAGATCCTGGTTCCCAGGTGGGGGGAGGTGGGGAGGGTCATGCATTCCTAACAAGTCCCCAGGTGAGGCAGCTGCTGCCGGTCCTCCGAGCACAACAGCAAGGTTTGAGGGACATCTCACAGCATCCAACTTGATTTTATTAGAACTGACTTGAACGCTGTTACTACTGTTTCAAAGAGGAAGAAAAGAATGTGTGAATTTTAAAACTGGTTTGCTCATAATTTCTGTCACTGAAGCTTTTAAATAGGCCGTCCGTGGATGTCTTGCTAGTTGAGAAGGACCACATTGTCCGTTTGTTAACATGAGCACGGAATTAACCCCAGTCTGTCAGGCACTTCCAGTCTCCTTAGGAGTGCAGCACTGCTTTGGGGAACAATTAGTTACTGATGGAAACGGTGCTGGAGGAATTTGAGGAATAAACCGCAGCACTTGTCATCAGCTTTGAGCATTAAAGTGCAGTGTAAAGTCAAGTCTTGGCTCCAGAGCAGCCTTTCACACTTCTGGTCCAATAGGTCGTGGGCACTCATTCCTGCTAAGGCAGCGACTCTGTGTACGAGCACTGGTAGTTGGAAGAGGTGGGAGTGGCTCCTTACATAGTGTTCTCTGAAGTCCAATGGTGTCTTGTGGATTGTACCCCACGCAGGGGAAATGAGTGCAGGGCGATGGATCGTGTCAGGGTAACTATACGTGAAGAAAATGACATGGTTGTATAATTCAGTGCATTTGCAGGGGGCTGCTTAGGATGCCTTGACGGCCAGACCAGGCATTCGGAGAAGGTTCCAGACCATGCAGGGTGGCGGTGCAGATGCAACAGTGAGCAGTTTGCTGAAGTGGTCTTGTCCTGACAGCCTCCCCGCCTCAACTTCTGGAGGCTGTGGTTCCCTTCTTCCTGTCCCTGCCTCCTCTTCCTGTCCTTCCCCTTTTCAATACCATCTAATCCTGCCCACGCTTAAAATATTTGGGGGGAGGGGCTGAACAGCTTTGGGAGGACCCTCAAATTGGAGCTCTTTTGTCATGATAGCAATGCCAGCTTCTGAGAGAAAAAGCTATCTGGAAAACCAAGCCAGGAAAAGCGAACCATTGTATCCATATCATAAATGAGAAAAGGAGGTTATGACTTGATCTGTCTTCCTGGGAACTTTTAGTGTCATGCGAGAAGAAAATCATAGGAATATCAGAACTTTGAAATCTTTGGCAGATATGGAGTTTCTCGGGTTTTCTGTAGCTTGGTTGTTCCACCATAGTAAAAAAAATAATGCTAGCTAGCATGTATATAGCACAATGCCAGGCATTGTTCAAAATGCTTTCCATCTATTAAGATATTCCACGAGCCATCCTGTGAAGGAGGTGCCTGACTGCCTCCTTTTGCTGGAGGAGGACCTGAGGCCCAGAAGGTTGCTGTCGGCCATGGTCATACACCCGGAAGTGGCAGATTCAAGCCCAGGCTTTCTGGGTCAACATCTATGCACCCTAACCACTTCAGTGTCTCCATTCCCTTTTGCCCCAAGGTCTCAAAGCACATCTTAGATCAGTTAGTACCCCTTACAATATAAAAGTCACCCAGAGAGTAGGGTGAGATTTTTAAATTTTCTCACTGCATGCATAGAGAAGAGAAAACCTACGTCTTTAGAACTAGGCAGTAAGCTTAGCAGACATAGTGGTGGTGTCTCATCAACTCTGCATCAGTCTAGCACACTGGTGGGAGCAATAGATAATATATATTTGATGAATTAACAGATTAGAGCAAGTCAGTGATTCTCGGTGAATAAAAAAACTTGGTAATCTGAGCACTTATCTAAAATGAATTTTTAATGCTTTGATTCATTGATACTCTTAAAAGTATAAACTTAAATATTCTGGAAAATATACATATGAGTTACAAGACTTATAGGGTGCCATTTTCTCAGGGAAATTGAAACCTATTGACCTGCAAGTGAAAGAAAATTAGACACATTTGAACACTGGACTCTAAAATAAAGTA